TGGCGTGCGTTCAAGAGATACGTACCCGAGTCTGTAAATCGGAAGCGGATGGACCACTTCAACCACTCTGTAACACGCGTGACAAAGCGCCTTGAGAAAGGCCGCGATTCCGAGGGCGTCGATCTATGGGATCTGGTGCTGGGCCAAAAGGAAGGACGAGGCCTGACCCGAGGCGAAATGGACGCGAACGCTTCCCTCTTTATGATCGCCGGAACGGAAACAACAGCTACGCTCGTTTCGGGCCTGACATACCTGCTCCTGCGCAACCCGGACTGCATGGCGAAGCTCAACCATGAGATCCGTAGTGCTTTCGCCAGCGACGCTGACATGACCATGGAGCAGCTCGCTGCATTGCCCTACCTGTCGGCTTGCATCAAGGAAGCGTTCCGTATCTACCCCCCGGTTCCTCTTGGACTTCCGCGCCTCACACCGCAAGATGGCAGTACTGTTGTCGGCCAATACGTACCACCTGGCACCATTATCATGATCCCGCAACACGCCATGTACCTGTCGGACAAGAACTTCAAGAGGCCAATGGAATTCCTTCCTCAGAGATGGATGGGTGATCCCGAGTTTGAGAGCGATGAGAGGCAGTGTGTTCAGCCATTCTCTATTGGATCTAGGGATTGTGTTGGCAAGAAGTAAGTTCAACAGCCCTCTCTCGATATTCATTTCTAGCATACGTACACAGACCATAGCAAGCTAACAGTAAACTTAGTATGGCATACCACGAGATACGCCTCCTTGCTTCCAAGGTCTACTACAACTTTGATATTGAACTCTGCCCTGAGAGCAGTGATTGGAGTAACCAGAAAACATTCATTCTTTGGGAGAAGCACCCTTTGATGTGCAAGTTGAAGGCTGTCAACTAGAAGATGTTGTAGTAAGATTATGATACGAACCAATGAAATCATGAAGCATGTAATACATAACTTCGTATCAAGTTCCGCGCGCACTTGTCTCGAATTCGCCAAGTCGATCTGCAGCACACAGCAAGTCTTCGCCATGCCATAAGCTACTAACACTAGGAGCGTCTTCGATTCCCGCCTCCTAGATACCAACATCCTCCACGCGCAACAATCCCGACGCCATACCCGCAACAGCCCACGTCCCAAACTTCAGATTCGGGTTCCAAGCCAGCGCCGTGATGGCAGTCAGCTCTTCGAAGATACTAATCGACCTTCCCACCTCTGGGTTACCTCTCTTCGTCGCATTCGCAGATGTGCTGTGCGCGATACCTGTTTGACCAGCCTTGTAGCCTTCGGTGATGCGGACGAGAGGTCGCGAGAGTACTTCTTGTGGCACCTTCTTGGTTCCATCAGCTGGTTCTCCGGCTTGCAATTCAGGTGTGTCGTCTTCGGTCATGGTGACATCTTCACCAGTCGTAGGCTTGGCTAGCACTCGATCCATCGGTCCTCGCCACTCGTGGACAAACCATTTTTGCTGCCATGGCATGATCTTGTAGTTTGTGATGCGCATGATTGGGTTGCTGGCTTGGATATCTCCGTCGACTCCGCCGATAAGAACGCCAGGGTGGACTGGACTTGTCGCGACGCGTGTAATGCTGTTTTCTAATCGCATGCTGTAGAGGTTGTGGTAGTAACGACGGATGGGCGTATGTCGCAGGATGTAGTGTTCGTCAGGCATGACGAAGGATTGCGTATGCTCATGCCATGCCTGCGTCAGACAAAGTGTGCGACCTCGTATCGACGCAGTAGTGTCGGCGTTTGGGCTCCGCAGGTCGAAGAGACGCGCAAAACCGTCTGCGGTGCTGATGGACAAGAACTGCGGGTTGGACGGCCATCCAGAAGAGACTGTGAGAATGTACGTGTCTGCCAACTGCTGATAGAACCAGGGTCTGGGGTTATGTTGTGTGGCGTCGGGTGTTCTCAGTGTGCCTGGGCGGTTTAGAGACCAGATACCCACAGTTCCTGCTGCAGTCGCAACCGCGAGTGTATGTCCCGACAGCCAGTGCAAGCACGAGGGCACTGTTTGAGGAAACGAAACTTCGAATGCAGCACGCGAAACATGAAGATACGTAGGAGTGTGAGTATCGGCTTTGGGAGGTGCGGAGATATCCAAGACGCGCACTCGTCCATCGGACCAGATACCTGCAAGCATACCTATATGCCTGCTACTTGCGTCGTCTGTCTCTTCAGTCGTGTCTGTAGCAGCTACCGGGCACCATCTGAGATGTTTTGGCGCACCCCAGTCTGTACAGATGACTAGCTCTAGTTGCGGCTCTTTCGATGCATCCAAGTCCCCTTCATCGTCAGCCTCGAACGACCATATTTGAATAGACGCAGGGAATGGCTCAGTAGAATTGAATGCAGGTGCTTTTGGCTGCTCCAGCGGCTTGGGCTGGTCGCCGCTGGTAGGTCTCTGCTCGATGGCAACAGCAAGATATTGGGTGTTGGATTCCTCGTTCGTCGCCCATTGAGCGTCTTGCACCCAAGAGCCAAGGTTGAACAGCCAACCGCGTCGCTCCTGATCGCCCGGAAAAGGTTTTGCGATGCTCATGTATGAGCCTTTTGCCAGCGTGTTGACTTGGGGAGTGTTCACCGGACCAGCCAGTACGTTCATGGTGTCCGATCCTGGGGTTATCATGTACTGTTTCGCCTCGTCCGCGGTCAGTTTATTCGTTGTCTGCGCTTTTGCAAAAGCATGGCTTCCAGTATTGGCATACCACGTCCTCAAGAGTTCATTCTCTTTCTCCCTTGCGCCATCGGCCTCGAAGAAGCTCCTTCTCAAGCTACCCACCTCAGCATCATCAGGTTTATTCTTCTTATAACTCCGAATAGGAAAGGTTTCTTGTGGAAACCAATAGTCCCTCGATTCGAGTACTGGTCTCAGATGATGTACATCTGGACCAAACAGGTTCTTCAGCCGCGGCTCATGACCACCAATCTTGTCGAAATCAGGGATACCTCGCGTTCGTAACTGGGTGTCCGTATCGACAACCCTTACTTTGATGCCACCTCCTTTCTTGAATATGACTGGTGACGGTATGTTGTCTGCCATGTCCTTGTAGCGGGGATCATTGTACCTTCGTTTCGGAGGGACGTCTGGGGTGGCAGGGACGGCTTGCGGTGCTCGCGCATTGCGTGCATTGCGTTTTGGAGTTGGTGCAGGACTTTTGTCGGAATTGGCCTGCTCTTCAGATGAGTCCTCTTCCTCCTCTACCACTTCGTCTTCTTCTTCGTATTCGACCTCCTCCTCCTGGGCATCCGGCATGAAGTCATCACCGTCGTCATCATCGCCGTTTTGGAGGGATGGTGTCTGTTTGCCGGAGGGCGCAGTGCCATCCTCGTCTTCATCGAGAAACGAGTATTCATCCTCGACGCGATAGGATTTGCGCGGCTTGCCTCGCGACTGCCGAGGTGATGAGTGCTCTGATGCGAGCGTTAGTGGTGTCCACCCTCGTCGAAGATGCAGTTAAAATCGCCAAATGCAGCACTAGCTCCAAGCGGCCTTCGTCATGTAGAGCTCCAGCCATCTTAGATATCGATGAACCCACGCTGAAGCTGGAGTATCGCGTTCTTTTAACGCGTAGCTGGGCCTGTAGAGCACTTCAAATCACATACCTATGGACATTCGAGCACTTAGGTGTGTTGCTGTTGTGACTGACTGGGTGAAGAAAGAGCAACTAGGACGCGACCAGGAAATCCAGCCCCGCCATTAGCGAAGAGCACAGACCTTTTGACCCCGCCATCGCATTCAAATTTTGCTGTCAGAACTCTGATTCACATGCTTATTGGGGACTTAGCTGCGGGAGTGATGATGGACGCACACAAGCAATCTGCTATCTATATTTACGTTGTTTTTTGTCGTTTCTCCATCAAAACGAATCACTTCGGGTAAGCAGCTGTCCAAGCCTCTCTCCCGTATCACCGTACTAACAACCCTATCGTGGTATGGTCTAGTGGTATGACGTCGCGTTGTGGCTGGCGGACACCTAGTGTCCCGATCCAGATCCGCGCCAGCCTGGGTTCGAGTACGTTCATTCCCTCATTGGTGGTCCTGAGACATTCCTAACATGTCTACAGTTCCCAGTACCGCCAATTAATTGCGACAATCTTTTTTTGCCCTTTCTCTCATCATGGCTATGTAAAATTAGGCTACGCACATTCTTTTTTGGCTATGTGTAAGTCCTAAGCACAGCTGCAGAGGTGCAGAGTAAGCAAGATGTTTTTGCCCTTGTGTGCGGATGTACTCAAGAGAATGTGCTACGCGAGTGCTACGATAGAGATGCGCGCGGCTCCTCTTCTGGATATACACCGTCTTTGCTCATAATAAGAAGACAAAAGTCAGAGACGCCGATGCACGCTTACTAGATGTCTCTAGCCACTACATAAGTTTCTACAAGTCTGTACAGCTACTAAATACATGCGTGATTTGACGAGATCGATGCATGTGTGTGAGAGTAGTAACAGGCCAAGACCTGCGGAAAGCGAGAACGCCAACGATAAAGCAAGGCGGGCAGTAAGGTACCGCAGTAGGTGTATAGGACATGTCGAAGCGCTGGTGGGTTTACAAAATGAATTAACGACATATAGCACAACCTCTATCTTCTCTTGCTAGCGCGCCACATGTTGGTCAGATTGAATGAGCGGAAACCTAGAGCTATCATGTCGCTTTTCGCAAGTGGTAGTTTCATTTAGATGCAGTGTGAAGACCGAGTTCGGCTTTATATCTCCTATGTTATTCTCTTCTATCAAAGGGGTATCTACCAACGCCGTGACGCCATTGAAGCAGGCTCCGTTGCATCTACTTGCCCACTCTTTCCAGTCGGATGTACCCAGCGCGCACAATCTCTCCTTGATGAGTTCCTTGTCATTCGCTGTCGCATGGTTGCAGTGTCTACCATCAAAAGAGAGGACATGAAGAGTACTCTAGTCTGTTTAAATCCATCGAGTCCAGAACGATGGTAACGAAAATTGTTATAGAAAGGCTCTCAGGATCTCGCTCCGAAGGGAAAGCACAGATCTGAGAGCTAGGTCTTAGTTTGTAGAAGAGGCACCAGCCGAGCGGTCGCCAGATGTATCTGAAGACGATTCTGACAAACGATTAGTACGACTTCGTCTGGTATATCATTGAATCGACTTACCAGCAGCGTCTTCCGATGAGTTGCCCGTGTTGACGTTGTCGTCTACAAAGGCGTCGCCGTCTGCACAGTGTTAGCCATGATAACGCGAGAGGGATACATGAGACCCACGGTGAACCTGGAGCGCGTTGTAAGCATCAGTTGCTGCCCCCGAACCCGTCGCAAGTGCGTTCTCATGAGCGGCAATGTCCTGCACCTGAGCTACGATACCCGCAGCAGGAGGCATAGAAGGGTTGCCAATGGGACCCGGAGGGATATGAGACTCGGGGACGAGCTCGTAGGTCTCGCCGTCGAGGATTGTATACGACAGTCGAGCATATTCACGCGCTTCCTCGACGCGGGTACGACGGTAACGGGGGAAAAGGCCAACGCCGTCGACGACGTAGTTATTGGTGATACCAGGGGGCTGGAACATGATACCTGCCCAAGCAGCCTTCTGGGGAGTGCTTCCATCTCCTGAGAGAGGGATCTTGAGGTTGGGGTATGAAGAGGATCCATGACCAGTGCTCTTGTTAAAGTTGCCGCCAGGAGGTGGAGGTGGAGGAGAAGACCCGGCCGCGGCGGACATATTATCTTGTGTCGGAGAGTCGATAAGTTGGAGAGTAAGGTATATGGATTCTGCAACAAAGTAAGTAAAGTGAATCGAGGTCTGTGTTTCCAAGAGAACTTACTAAGAATTAAAGTATATCGGAAAGATTTCTCTTCTTGTAGCAATGGTGTGTAGAAAGAAGGAACCATGAACCCGCTCGAAACCACGTCCTTATACAACCAAGGCGATTCTCCTCAGCGGTCACCTTGACCTTTACTCGGAGTCCAGGTGACCTTCGATCATCATCCCTCACCGAGAAAGTGAGAGAGCATCCACCATAGTGAAGGAGCGCATTGCTAGCGGGGTAATCAGGGGCTTCTGCGATATTATTGTGTGCTCGAAACAGCGCAGGAAAGGAGGGATCTTATAACTCGAACGAGCGATTGCGTTTGCTGCTTGTGGTCGTGTGTTGTGGACGGAAGACATTCAGATTGCTAGCGGCAGGCAAATCAACATCAAACGCTGTGGAAACGGGAAATCGCGTTCGTGAACCGAGTAAGCCCGTGACTTATCGAGGAAGGCGCGATACCCAAAGAGAGCATCAGGAACGCGACAAGAAGCAGGAGTGTGATGTCATCACATATTGGGCACATCAACTTCAGCGTACGTGCCTTTCCTCAATCTCACGCCATTCACTAATTGTACTTAGCAGATGCAAATATACCCGGTCACTCATTCTGGACTAAAACGTTAGTTTTCACGTGTTGTGTGTAGGCATATATTATTGGTATTTAGAAACAAACACTCTAACCCCAGTACTCCAGTCGTGATCGCAGGTACATCGAGGCTAAACCCAATCACAGCCTACGACGATGAGAAAGTTCAGTCTAGGAAGTAGCAATCCCAAAGGCTTCCTCATCTTCAAAAAGACCATCGTATAGATCTTTTTCGAGATCTTCCAAGTGTGAACTATCCGTATATGCGTTCAAACTCATGGCAGAGATAACCTGACTTCAACCTGCTCAGGTTGGATGCGGCGCTTGAAGTACTTTATCTGAACGTCTTTTAAACATGATCAGCAACCATGTAGGACACCCATAGAATTCCGCAAACTTACCATAGTGAATAGTGTCGTCGGTGGCCGCCTCCGCCAAGGCAGTCTTCACATCGATGAACTCCCACTCCCGATCGTTCAGGCGCGACAAAACCTTTTTACCTCTATGGTTTTGCTTTGCAACGAAATTGATGGTGTCGCGACCACTTCTGACGAAGACAGACAAGCGCCTCCCGCCACTGTCAAGCATAGCGAAGCCGTTCGCGTGGTACTCAGCTATGCCTGCCAAGGTAGTTTTTATGATACCGTTGGTCGGATCCAAAGCATAGTAGCGTGCGATGGTCAAGTCTTGTTGGGAGTGGAAGTCGACCAGTGGGTTCTCGAAAGAGGTACCGGGGCTCTCGTCTTTGGAGGGACGGCTGAAGCTGGAGGTAGAGAAGCCTTTCTTCATCTTTTGTTCGCGTTTGGGGTTGGCGCGCAAGAATGTTTACCTTTGTCTGAGCTGCAAATGATCCCAGAACGGAGAAAAGAGCCCTCAATATATACGTCTCTAGCTTGTTCGCGCTTGCTGCCTAGCCAGTGGGTCGCGATCGCAAGAGGCAGAAACCTTCGCAACCGTGCCAGAGCCAATTGAAGACCTGAGGAAAGATGCAGAAAGTGAATAACCAAAAGGACGTCGAACCTCGGAAAGAGATACCCACGGACAATGTTACTTCAAGCTCCTGACATACATGTTATATACACAGCCCTATATGATGGGTATCTAGAAAACAAACATACTCCGACTCCATCGTCGACGATACCTCATAGCAACGCCGTGAGACACACTTATTCTATAGTAGTACACAATCCAGCAAAACCATCCTCTCATGCGCCGTTGAACCAAGTACATGAACTTTCCTACTTCTTCTCACCATCCACATCCATCGCATCCTCATCCTTCTTCCCCGCATTGACATGTATAACATCGCCATCCTCCTTCCTCGACATAACGCGAATAACATCGCCATCATCATCCGCCGCATCATCTCCAGCAGCCGTCTCATTCCTTTTTCCTTCGGGACTAACTCGATTAGCCGCCAAGTTGGGAAAGAGAGGCTTTCCTGCAATAGATACCGATCTACGCAGATTATCGTTCTGAACTTCCTGATGAATCTCTTCCACCTCTTCTTCGTCTAGCTCGCTAAGCTCGCTCTCGTCGTCTGCGTCGTCGTGTATGGAAGCGGGTGCGCTGCGTTCGGGCTCGTCGTTGTTTATACTGGCAGATGCGGTTGCTGTTCCGCTCTTGTCGAAGGAAGGATGTAAATGTTCGGTGGATGTGCCTGGTCCAGGTGCTGGTTGCGCGACGGCTTCGGGTGAGGCGGCTTGTCCGACGATAGAGGGAAGCACTGCTTCGCTGGGTGGAGGCGATCGGATTGGCATCGATGTTGGCTGAGTCGCCGTACCTGCGATCTTTTGTACACATGCTTCGGCTCGACGAGCGATCTCCCTACGACCCACTGCCTTGGCTCTTGGCTTTGCGGGTTGCTCAGGCTGCGAGGGCATTTGCGGCATTGACGGTGGGTGCTGCGGCTGAAGCTGGTTGGGGTGATACATGTTAAATGGCGTACCGGAACTTCCGTCAGCAGGTCCATCGACCTGAACCTGCATCAACGAGGAGATAGGTACAGCACCTGCAGCTGTTGCGGTTATACCGAAAGGCGATGGTCGAGGCGGTGCAGGCTGCAAGGGCTGCTGTGGTTGTTGCTCCGATTGCAAGGGCGGTAGCGAAGGCCCAATTGAAGTGTACAGCATTGCGTATGCATCGCCAATCAGGTCGTCGATGAGAAGAGGCTTCATCATGCCGTTGTTCAGACGCTTGAGTTCAATGGCATCACGGAGAACATCTAGAACGGGATGCTGGGTCTCTGGGTTCTGACACCACGCTTCCAAGCGAAGAGCCAACGTATTGAACTCATCGTGGTTGACGGATTTGAAGGCAGAGTCTTCCTGTCCCTCAAGCACGTTGCCCATCTTTCGCAGCATTTTGATGTACCGTAGACATAAGTCTTGCCACAATTTCTGGTGTTCGAAGAAGTCGGTCTGCTTGCGTCGTACACGCTTAGCAAGCGCCTCAAAGTTAGTCTTGTCTCCAGTGAGATCCAAGAGTTCAATAAAGAACTTGGTATACCGTGTAGTGTAGACAAAATGTCGGCCGGGTCGCTCATTCTCAGGTTTCCAAACTTGTACAGCCATGGTCTTGGTAAACATTTGCTGCGTAAGCTCATGTTTAGCCTCATTGGCCGATACTGGATCTCTGCCGTTGTCATAGAGAGTATGGGCCACACGGGATATGATGCGATGGTGCCAACTTGACTTGTCGGCCGCTCGCAATGCTTTCAATACCGCGAGTACGTATCGCTGCCAATCACCGTTGTTTTCCGGAGCTTTGACGTTCTGCGTGTAGGAAGTGTTCGCGAGGATCTCCGCTCCTTTCTCGTGGTCGATGGCTCCTCGCAGGAATAGTTTGTGTGTGACGGAAACGAGCTTGTAATGCGGCTCCAGGACTGGCTCGCCGCTGCGCCCCTTCTTTCCTGGCAGTGTTTCGATGGCGCTGATGAATGCGTCCACGACTGACTCCCAGGAAGGACCGCGCGGAAGGGGTAGTGGTGCCCCTATTGACTTGGCATATTGCGTCGCACCATCATTTGCTGCCCACATCTTCCAACCACACTTTCCAAGCATGAAGTGGTTCCACCACTTGTTCGGATTGCCTTTGATGGCTCTCTTGTAGAGAGTGCTTGCGAATTTCCAAGCAGTGTAGGCATGCAGTGGGGCAAATACGACCTCTTTGTATAGGGATGCGTTCGTTTGTAGGTTGCAGAATCGTTTTTCACTTTCCCGGATCTGGAATGCTTCCATGCCAAATGGTTCTCTGGATGAGGCGTACATGCGGTTCCCAAACTCGGTGTACATCTGTGCGATCTTGGTTTGATCGATCGGCGTGATGTTAGAATCGCGGGTAGCGCAGGCTACAGCCATTATGTAGCAATTGATTGCAGCACGCTGGAAATTAACCACCTCGGCACTATTGCTGTTCATCTTGTCTGCGTTCCAAGATACAGCCTCTTCAAGCTGCGTGTCGTTGGCTTGGGCAAGTCGATACCAGGTCTCCCACCGTTCAATGGAGTGCTCCAGGTCCTGCACAAAGAATGCCTGGGCGTAGTTAAGGTCTTCTGTCGGTCCTTGAGTCATACGTTTCTGCGATCGGAATTTGCTCAGCGCGATGTTTCCCATCATATAGTACCAGCCCTTCGATGCAGCCACAGCTTCGTCAGCAGGAATGTGTTTCGTGGCGAGTGAACCAACGCCTTTCAGACACCCGAATAGTGCCACTGGATTGACGGGCGATTTGAAGTAAGTGGAAATGACTTTTCGGTTAAAGGTGATATCCTCGTTCTGTTTAGGCCGACCAAGAGCAGCATGTACTTTCTCGATGGTACCTTTGAGCTCGGTCTTTGGTAGGTCCTTGAGATCGACCTTAGCAGCTTGCGACATTGCGAAAGGTAAGATGCTGAAGGCAGTCTTTTTATCAAGGACGTCTGGCGTAGTTTGAAAGCTCTGACAGTCCAGAGGCTCGACGAAAAGCTTCAATCCGTACATGTCGTGAAGTACCTGGCAGAGCTCGGTGGCGTGGCTGGGACCATCAACGATGTCATCCATTCGAAGTAGCTCGTCCTTTGCAAGCCTTAAGAATTGACGGTTTGAAAGGTGACAGAAGCCACGTACACCAGTCGCATGATGCACATGGCGGATGAAATCGAACAAATCGTCAGAAGGAGTAGGGAAAGCCTCTGAATCTTGGGACATGCCGTCTTTGAACAGATGGTACTGCAGAATCCAGAGTCGTAGATGTATGTCGTCGAGTCTTGACATCATATTGGCGAACGCTGCATTTGGCTGAGATTCTACTCGAGGCACGGCGATGTGATTGACACGAATCAGATCTCGGAGCATGTCTGCTGCTGATATAATATGTAGCAGTTCTGCGATGGCGGACATGGACGATTGGACATGCTCATATGAGAGGCAGGCAAATGGCGCTTCGTCATCTCGGATGATGCGGATTATCTTGACGACCATGTCATCGATAACCCGGTATCGGGTTAGGAGCTTGTGTTGACGGTCTAGTAATGGAAGTTCCTGGAAGTTTGTAGATCTGAGATCTGCCACAAGGGCCTCAATACTTCTAAGGAAGCATGACAAGACCTTTGAAGGATAATCGATGGCTTCATATGCCACACGCAACCTATTCCAGAGGGAGAGTCGGACGTTGACATTCGCAGAGTCGAGAAATTTCCGCATTTCCAGAACGGGCGAGGCGCGATCGAGCTGCTGTTCTGAGCCAGTGCTTACAGTAGGTGAGCTGTGTGTATCAACACCGTCATGTTCTAAGCCGTCCGGCTTCGGGGAGCTACTAGGCTCCTTTGTGTTCGCAAGCTCCAGTATCGGCTCCAGGCTTTCGATAACCGTCACTGGGTCCTGTTCCTCTTGGTCAAAGACCTTGAGAAAGAAGTCCTTCATACTAATGCGCACGAGCTCTTGATCAATAGCGGCGACTGAAAGTTCCGGCATGACGGCGTTGTTCTGTATCTGAATCGTGTGATCGCCGAAAGGCTCAAACATATCTTTCAACTGTGCCATGGCAAATAATACATGTTCCGGCAACACCTCGTCGTTGACACTCATTTGAAAGACTGTCGCCCAGATATGGCGCAAACCTAGATCGTCAATGCCCTGACCTGGTCTGCAGTCCGATCGAAGTTGTAAAGCCTCCCGCGCGAGCAAAGCCCATCTTTCGAGACGGTCACTCTGGAGGATTTGAGTGCTGGCGTCTACTACACTTTGCGGATGCTTGATAAGAGAGTAGACATCGAGATGCAGCTCGAACAATGCCTCCACTATCTCTATCTGCGCCTTGTCGAAGGCGGAGAGCTCATAAGCTTGAGACCGATGTGTAGCGTCCAGTATCCGCCGATTGAGGCTGTCAACGCGTTCGGCCATGCGCTCGTATATGAACTCGTCGATACGAACAATGACTTGTACAACGTTTCGCTTGAGATCTTCCGCCCACCTAAACTGCAGGTAGCTTGACTGATCACTCGGTTGAGTTCCTGTCGTGGAGCAGTAACCTGGAGTAAACAGAGATTCAATCCAGCCAAATGCGACTTCTTCAATCGAAAGCCAACCGTTGTTGACAGACCTTGCGAACGCGTTCAAGCCTTGATTTTCCAGCAAAGGTTTATTGGAAGCTTGACTCGAACTTGACTTGGAAAAACCCAGAAACGCATTGAGCCCGTGTTCCCTAGTCGCACCGAGGAGATCGAAAGACTCGGAACTGAGAAGGATTTGTGCAGTTTTGACGTGCCCGCTCCGTAGTCCCGTGAAGAAATCGCAAGCGGCCTTGTCAAT